GAGACGATGGCGAACCACGAAGAATAATACAAGCGTGCTGCCGTTCGATATCGAATATATGGGAAATAAGCCCGACACGAAAAGGAGAGAGAGAGAGGGGGGGGGGAAGAGGCATCGGTACAGTCAGGCGATGAAATCCCGGGTCGGCGGTTTACCCGAGGCCCCACGGATTCGCGAGCGTATCCATCACGGTGGCTAGCTAAGGCGTCGCGCAAACACACGGGTCTAACGGCGGACGCGCGAATCAACGCGCAGATTATATGCAGAGGCTACGCGCCGCCGTCTGTTGTGATTGATATTTGGTTAAGCGGCACAGCGATCCATCAAGTCCGCAAAAGCGCTCTTTATCCTTGGCTCGCCAGAAGCTACACGTCTCACCCGATTCCGGTGAAATCCGGATACACGGCCGCTCTCCTCCTCCTTTCCCAGTCAGTCTTTGGTTCTCTCTCATCTCACGAGCCTTCCTCCCGGCTATTGCCGTTGCCATGAAAGACGGAGAATGATCGATAATTGAATTTACGCAGTTTCTTCGCAGAGGTGGGAGGGAAGTTATAATACGTCAACGTTGCGTGTGTTGTTTAAATTGTATGATATATAACGGAATCTTAAATGCATGTATATTTTGCTTGCAGACGTACCAAGGATGGAAAAGTCACCGCTTCTGGCGAATGGATACAATCACCCACCCACGCACCTGAGCCACATGCAGTTCATGCAGCTCGGCGGGCACCCAGGTGCAGGACATACCGCTATCCTGTCACCGGCCAGTCTACCGCATCACCTGCAAGCGCAAGCACAGGCTCGGGCCGAGCAGGGTCTCAAGGTCAATCCGAATATGACCAACATGGAAGCCCTCGCGAGGTGAGTCTTCCCTCCTTCCTTTCTCGGTTCATCTCGGCGTGTCAGAAGCGTCGAGAAACCGCAAATTGTCGTTCTCTTGCGATGTTCCGGAAGCTGTGCTTCCTCGCGCAGCGGGAAACATTTTCATTAACTTCCTCCCCAAAGTTTACGAGACGGGGACAAGTCGTATCGAACGAGATGGTAATAAGCGCGAAGAGGCACAATAAGTCGACAGAGAGCGAAAAAGAAATTCTCGTTCGGTGCTTCTCAGAAAAATTAAAGCTTCGAGTTTCGTTTTTCGATTCTATAGTTTTGCACCTGCTTTCGCGCTAATCGACAGTTCATTCGGAAATTGGATTTATCCGTTCTGAGTGCCTCACGGCGATTGCTTTGGCTAGCGAGGCCAAAAGAATACGACTTTAAGAGGATTGAAGAGACAGCGAAGCCGTGGAAATTCGAGGGGTCTTGACACCGTTTGATCTCTTCCTCCTTCTTGCACTTCTCCTCGCTACCCTCGACTTCTCTTTTTTTTTGTCTTCGCGTTTTCCTTCGATTTCACTTTCTCAGACGTTTGTCGTTTACTCGGTTTGGATTACACCGCGACGCGCACTAACGCGTCGATAATTAATCTTGTTTCTTGGATGTATACCTACGATTAAACAACTTTTATTGATTGTACATTTATTGATTTTTAACTTCCGACCGAGTAAAGCAGTTTGATTGTGTATAATAAACCGTTTGTTTCTAAAAGTAATTAAGAGAGAAATAATTTAATCTTGCATACTACACTAAGACATGGCAAATCTCTCGCGTTGTCTCAAGACGTGTTATTATTCATGATTCGGTTCGACCTTGAGATTCTACCAGCATTTAGATCCCTCTTGTGGTGTTAGGCCATCTTTGAAGACATGAAGGCCTTCTTGAGGCGGTAAATCCTTGCCGCGTTACGCGCGGTCCCAAGACGAATATCGCGGCTTATTCGGCTTCGTGGAGTGTGTGGAGAGCCGCGAAGACTCGAGAGAAAGAGAAAGAGAGACTGAGAGAGAGAGAGAGAGAAAGGAGCACCAAAGGAGCAACATCCTCGTCCTTACTCGAGGGGATAGACACGAGGCTAATCCCGGCATTTGTTAACGCGTTTCTAATAGATGCTCTCGGTACGTTCCCGCTTTCCGCGCGCCACGATACGCTCCCGCAGCCGGCCGAAGCTTTCGAGGATACGGAGACTCGCCTTAATTTTCGATTACATCCGCCCCGTGTAATTAGCCCCGTCCTACTAACTGTTACCCCCTTTGCTCGAGTGTTCGCTTTAGGCGGCGCGCGCCCGGAAAATCGGGACTTAGCGGCAGACACAGGGATTTGATCATTTCTTCCTTTCGGTCGGTTTTGCGTCGGAGAATGATTTCTGGTAACCCCGTCGGATAATAAATAATGACTGAAGACAAAAAAATAAAATAAGGGAATATATAACATATTAAAAAGATACTTTTTCTCTCGTTGAACAGATACGGTTTACGCATTTCGTATATAAACTATTCTTAATGCAAAGCCGACGCTCCGGATTTTTAACGCGTCTCAATCTTTCTTAACAACGCAATGTGCGTTCGTGAGTGAGTGTAGCAACGTGCGAGAGAACGTGTGCGTGTGTGCTAGCAACGCGCGTACACGCATACGCGCGGGCGTGTATAATGACACGGTGAAGGCGGCGCCGCACGTTTCGCATTATGATTTCAGCGCTTTGCTTTTAATTAAAATGCAAATCTATCGCGACGGAGGAGCGAGCGAGCGAGAGAGATCGGGAGGTAAGACGGATTACGTCTGGGGGCGCCACGACAAACACCGGAATATGATTAATTCAACGCAACCCCATCCTGGGACACCGACGCCACCACCGTCACCGCGTCCACCCGTTTTCCCTTCCTGTCCCTGTCCTGCCTTGTCGCCACCCCTTAACTCGCCGTATCTCCTTCTTCCCTCCGTCCAACTTCCCCGCGCCAACCTTTCGTCACCCTGCGTGACCTCTTCGACCAGTTTCCACGGATGACACGTACGGCTTTCCTCTGCGTTTACTTCTCGCTTTTCCTTCTCGCTTTTCCCCATTGACATCGAGATCCGTTTCCCGTCGTGCAAACACAACGAATCGTCAACGCAAGTCCGTGGAAACCGTGTCAGGCGTATTGACATTGGGTCCTGGAACTTCTCTTCAGGATAATGTACTTGGGCATTTTCAAAGCGCCGTCGATGCCCGATTTCCGTTTCGTTTTTATATTACGCAAACGAAGATCCTGTCCCTCCTGATTAACTTATCCATTTCTTCCCCCTATCTTTTCCCCCCTCCCCGCGACCGGCGCGATCCCAGGTCGCAAATTAACTCCGCTCCTACCGCGCTGACATCTCTTTTTTTTAATCAACGACATCAAAGGCTCTTCATTCTCGGTGCGTACGGCAACGGTCGGAATCGTGTCGTAGCCGAGATGAGACGGAACGAGGACTCTTAATCAGTCGTGTCCTCTCACAGGAGGACGCTTCGCGATTGTGCGATTAGTACTACGATCGCGAAACAACGCGTTTCTCCTTTCGTTTCCCTTTTGATTTAGTCACCGTATTATCCGAGGCTTAGGCTTTCTTTTCCATTTTGTTCGTGTCGTAACCGCCTTTTGTTTTGTGCTCCACAGGTCCGGGACGGTTTGGGAAAACTGCCGAGCTGCCTACGAAGATATTGTCAAACATCTCGAAAGGTAGGATATCAAAATCGTATTAAAAAGAAAAGATAAAGGATGTGGAGAGAGGGGAAAAATCGTACCGGACCGTGGCTTGCGGTCATCGCGTTTTCACGCAGAAATTTTAGATGCGTTTCGAGCGCACGAATGATAGCGTCCGAGCGAGGGGGTTCATGCAACGCTGTTCACCCGTGAACCCGTAATTCTCGATTAGCCGGAAAAATCGTGCTACATCACGGACGGCAGCAAAAATACAGAACGCAGCGCGTATATCGAGCTCGATGACGCGGCCTAGGCCGCCGCTGCACTTCCGATAAATCAGTATTACCGGGGAAGCGGTATCGAGTTTCCGGTTGCGCGACAAGTTGAGTCCAGGCCTGACGTAGTAATGCCAACATGATTTGTATGGTGCGAGAGCCCTTCTCTCCTACCGCGTCGTGCACCCCTCCTATCCCTCTCCTATCCGCCGCAAAATCCATCCGAGCGACCGACGGCCTCCGTTTCATCTGACACCAACACACAGCCGCCGCCGCGGCCGGAGAGCGAGCCACCGAGGTTTCCGCGTGATCCTAACCACTTGTCACTTCACGGCACGCAGATCATCGTCGCGACGTGCCCGTCCATCATTCGGGGATTAAATCATTCGAGCGCCTGCGAAATACTCGCGCCTACCAACGAGCCAACGCTGCTTCGAAAGGGTTGATTTCGGAAAGGGGCTTTGCACCCACACCCCATCGTCGATCTCAGCGGAGAGAGGGTGCGAAGCAGCAGACTCTACTTCATTATGGCTCTCTCTCTTCCTCCTTTGGACTTGTAACTCCGTAAAAACAAAAGCTTGTGAGACACAAAGAAGACGAGGGAAGAGGCGCTACGTACGCCAAACGGCATTCCGAAAATCTTGAATTTCACCCTCGCCGAGGAGGTAATAGGTGCGAGAGGATGAAACGAAGCCTCGCGCCTCCACGGCGAATCTGGCGGAGAGCCGTTAATACGGGGGGTGAAAATCGACACTTGGCCGTCCGAAACGTAATTTCCAATTCAAAGGCAATGACCACTGGTCGAGCCGCCGCCGCCGACCACTCACTCGGCCCCCGCACGCGCTTACCCGCCGCCTGTGCGCCGCCCTTTCTCTTTCTCTCTCTCGTTCTATTTGCTTTACCGTCGACCCCACCGTCGACTTCGTCAACCGGACAAACGCGTATTGTGATTTCAGCCTTTGACTGGTGGCCGTTCGATGGATATCGCAGGGGGTGGTAAATGGGCACGAGGCCACGGGGAGCGGATGTGGATGCGGGGAGTGGGCTGGGGGGAAGGGGGGACATGAGGGGCCGGGAAACGGACCGGAGTAGCGAGAGCGACGGGGGTGGTTTGCTGTGGAAGGGCGGCGGACCAGCGAGCGCACCGTGAATATTCATGGCGAGAACCCTAGACGAATTCGGACTTGTTGCGACTGACACTGATGTAAACCTTTGTTTATCCTGCGTGGCCCGCGCGTTCGTTCGTTCCCTCGAGATACGCGCCAGCAGCCGCGCAGCCGAGGGCGATCCTCGAGTATTTAACTGCGAGTTAAATTCTGATTAATCGACGGCGCCGACTTTATTAATTGTTTGTCCTTTTGATTTTACAACGTTCAGCCTGCGAACGAAGACTGCGTTGCTCCTTCTGCCGTTTGTTTCGCCCTCTCTCACCCCCTTCACTGCCGCGTTTTAATCCCGATGATTTGTTCTCGCTAATCCATTTGATCTACTCGCTTGGAGGAAAACTGATTTCCCCTCAAGTCTATCCGCCAGCTTGGTCAATTAAATCTTATTAACCTGGTATCACGGTACGTTTTACTGCTTAAGTTTTTTTTATGCCATAGCGTTTATAGTTGCATACCTAATCGTAAATTTTATCGACATTATTATAATTGCATCTATCGATTGTTTTCCTTTTTATCATGGATAATATTTATAAAATCAAATTTTGGAAATATATGACTGGCGGATAAGCAGTTGTTACAAGCGGATGAAGGCGGAGTTGCGAGAGACACGCGGCTTCCATCGCGCTCCCGTCGACCCTCGGCACGTTGCGGCAACGGCTCGCGCGTTATGAAGTAATATTAATGGTTCCCCGCAGTTAGAATGTTCGGTATCAATGCGCTAATGTCGGCTTCCTGGCTTTAAAACTACCCAGTCATTCCGGCATAATTCAGGCGCATTGTCTGTCGTCGTCCAACTACCATCCGCCATCAGTTTCTCGCTGCCTTGCTACGGGTTCCTTATCGTCAGGCATCCCCTTACGCGTTGCCTGCCTCCGCGTCTCCGTACTCGTCCCCTCTCGCCACTCCCGATCCGTACCTTGTCTTCTGTCTCTTTTCAACCTATTCCGAACTTGGAGCCACCCTCCCCGTCGCACCCACGACGTCATTAATTACGACGGCGACGACGTCCTATCGTCCAGGACATCTGCTGGAAAATAATATTCATAAAGTTGAGCCTCGTCGTTACGATCGAGTCTTTCTGCTTCCTTTCTCACTCCCTCTCTTTTCATCATGCTTAGGGTTCGCTTCTTGCTTCCTCTGCTTTTTACGTCTTATCCCTCCTGCGCCGTACCAGCGAGATGACGTCGCCCATTTACATTTACGGTCATGGTTTCGTGGCTGCCGTGTCCACAAAAAAGTATACCGACGGATGCAAAACGATGGACACGTCGAAACGCGTCATGAGATATTTTACTTCTTGCCGCTTTGATAACCGCGCGCGATTACCGCCGACGTTGACGTCGAGTCGTATCTCGAGAATGGCATGATTGAGATTATCCTATACTCATTTAGTATAACACTTAGTTTAATATGAACGATTCGTTTCAATTCGATGAGCACATTAACATTTTATCCGATTAATGAAAAGACTAAGGATAAAATGCTTTAATTTTCAGAATAGAATATGAAACATAATTTGATATAACAAGTATTTCTTATGAATGTCTAAATAATTTAAAATTTCATTTTTTTTTTAAATTAAACTGTACATGTGTGAGCGCGGTGCAGATTCATGCACCATCGTGCATTAATATATTACATTTTAACATTTTGATTTGTCACGTCCGGCCATTGTGTATTATAATACAACAAACTAACTTTTAAGTACAAGAAACTTGATAATAAAATATATTCGCCATTTCGTGCGAATTACGTGGGAATAGGTTATCACGTAACTGCGGATAAATGTAGGTTGCAAAAATAGTATCTAGATGCAAGATCGGTCTCGGCTGTCAAACGATTGGCCTCTCTCGTCTATTGCGGCGATACGAGTGCGGCGAAACGATTAATTCGACTCGGCGATCGCGCGGACGATAGCCGAGAGCCGTTCTCGTTCTCTTACCATCGCGAGCGGCACGCTAATTGCGTTCAAACGAACTGTCAGCGCGTGGACAGGCACACGGCGCAAACACCTACAGAGGTAACTATAGTTACATGAACGGCACACGTACGGCAGCAATGCGACGTGCGCGCAAATACGCGTATTGTGATTAATACCGTTTACACGGCAACCAGTCCGGGCTTCGAGCTGTCAGCATAACGTCACGAGAATCCCCATAATTACGTGATGTGCCGCGACGCGACGATTTCCGCCTTGTCCGCTTAATCGCGCGTATATCGACATGAATTCGAACTATCAAAGGTCATCTCCGATTGTTCTTTTTCCGTCAATTGTAACAATTGTATACAAGGTGTAAAATAAAGGAACAAATTTGGAGACCGAGCCCTCTATACCGAAAAAAAGTTCATATAAGCATACATATGTATATCCGTAAACTCGATGTAATGTATGTATGTTAACTCGGATCTATAAAGTTAGCACGATATTCTAGTAATGTAAAAAAAATAATGACAGTTTCAGTAGTATTTTTTATTGTTCTATAGTTCTTTATAAAAATACAAAAAAATTCCACAATTTGTATACCAATAAACCAAAATTAAACATGCAATTGGCATGTTAATTTTGGTTTTTGGTATAAAAAGTATGCAACTTTTATTATTATTATAAGAAACTGTAGAACTATATAAAGTGCTATTGGAACTTTTGGTCATTATTTTTTTTATATTACTAGGTATTAGAATCGTGCTAACTTTATAAATTCAGGTTATATTCGTATAATATGCGTACATTACACCTACCCAGTTTTAGAATACTTCATTAAATAGAAGCACTGTTAATAACATTAATTTATATTGATATATTAAACTGCTCTCGCAATAAAATATGTGAAGATTTCCAAATCAAGATGAAAATACAAAAAATATTAAAAGTATTAGGAAAAAATCATGAAATTTTGTCTGAAAATCAGAGAATAGTTACGGAATTTTAGGATAAGGAATTTATGACAACTTTGTATATGTTTATATGAACTTTCTTTCATGTTTGATATAGATAATTCGCCCTAGAAATTTCTCCTTTTATTTTAGTTCCAACTTATATTACTTCTAATTTATTCTCTTATTGCTGCGATTGATTGTCGCGATTAATTATTACGATATATTATCATGTTCCATTGGCGTGATGATTTCTTCGCTAGTTATTTCCCTTTTATGAATAATCCTCAAGCGCGTGCGCTGTCAGAATGCCGTTCGTCGACGGTGGTGTTCTCGCGTCTCAATACTCACGCATAGGTGGAGGGCTTTATCCAAGATCGCAAAATGGTAAATTGCGTCAAAGTGAATTATGCGCGAGAATCGCTATGCGATTATCCCAGCGCGCAGCGCTGACAAAGCGCGCATTAGTCACGCTATCACTCTCGTTCTTTTATCTTTTTCTCCGGCGCGTTGTTTCGTTGTATCGTTCTTCGATTCTTCCATTTGCCCACCCAGTAATTTTCCAACATAATTTTCGTATGTAATTGCCGGTGTGCGGGCGCGATTGACTGGGCAATTACTCAGATATTTAAAGAAATGCGATCTGCATTCAAGAGAAAGAGAGAGATAGAGATGGAAAAAGGGAGCGGATGCTCGATTGGGCTTTAGGGTTGCCTTAATT